ATGAGGATTTAATTAGAAAAATGCCTGCAACTAGTGGTGATGCAAGTGAATTTAAGGCCAGCAAAGGTTGGTTTGAGAGATTTAAGAGGCGTAATGGCATACATAGTGTGATAAGGCATGGTGAGGCTGCCAGTTTGGACCAAAAAGCAGCTGAAAAATATGTGCATGAATTCAAGGAGTACACAGACAGTGAAGGACTGAAACCTGAACAAGTGTTTAATTGTGACGAAACAGGCCTGTTTTGGAAGAAAATGCCAAGCAGAACCTACATTACTCAGGAGGAAAAGGCACTCCCAGGACATAAGCCTATGAAAGACAGGCTTACTCTTCTCATGTGTGCCAATGCTAGTGGTGACTGCAAAGTGAAGCCTTTATTAGTGTATCACTCTGAAACTCCCAGAGCGCTCAGGCAAAAGAATATCCTCAAGGCTAATTTGTGTGTGCTGTGGAGGGCAAACAATAAGGCATGGGTCACTAGGGACTTTTTCTATGACTGGTTACACCAAGCATTTGCCCCCACTGTGAAAAATTACCTAACTGAAAAGAAATTAGACCTTAAGTGCCTCCTGGTGTTAGACAATGCCCCTGGTCATCCTACAGACTTGGCAGAGCGACTTTGTGGGGACATGAGCTTCATTAAGGTGAAGTTTTTGCCTCCTAATACCACTCCTCTCCTGCAGCCCATGGACCAGCAGGTTATTGCAAACTTCAAAAAACTGTACACAAAAGCTCTGTTTGAAAGGTGCTTTGTAGTGACCTCAGAAACTCAATTGACTCTAAGAGAGTTTTGGAGAGAGCACTTTAATATCCTCAATTGTGTAAACCTTATGATAGATAAGGCTTGGGAGGGAGTGACTAAGAGGACCTTGAACTCTGCTTGGAAGAAACTGTGGCCAGAATGTGTAGACCAAAGGGATTTTGAAGGATTTGAGGCTAACCCTGAGAATTCTATGCCAGTTGAGGAATCAGTTGTGGCATTGGGGAAGTCCTTGGGGTTGGAGGTTAGTGGGGAGGATGTGGAAGAGTTGGTGGAGGAGGACAATGAAAAACTAACCACTGATGAGCTGCTAAATCAACTTCAACAGCAAGAGGCCACACCTGAGGAAATTGCTTCGGAGGAGGGGAGAGAGAAATTGAAGAAGTTGCCTACTTCAAAGATTAAGGAAATCTATGCAAAGTGGCTTGAAGTGCAAACCTTCATGGATGAAAATCACCCTCAGACAGCTATTGCAAGCCGTGCTGGTGACTATTACACTGACACTGTTGTGAAACACTTTAGGAAAGTCATAAAGGAACGAGAGGTACAGGCCACTTGACAATATGTTTGCGACAAAAGTCCAGTGACTCTGATAGCTGTCCTAGGGCAATTAAAAGAAGAAGGGAAGCAACCTGGAAAAGGAACTTGACAACCAAGTCCTAATGGTAGTTTTTTCCCTTCTAAACACAAAAACCATCCATTCCCCTCCTCCCATTCCACAATTCATTCACTCATCATTCAATAAAGGTAAGTGTCATGTAACTATGCATGTTTTCTTAAGGGTTTGTGTGTATTAAAATTAAATTCAGGGTATATTTTTTTTCTACTTTTTGGGTCCTTGCACGGATTTTTTGATTTCCACTTATTTCTTATTTGGGAAAAAATTTAATTCTCAGAACGATAATTTAGCATAGCATGAGCTCTCGGAAAGATTAATACGTTTTGCGGGGGTCCACTGTACTAAATTTAAAAAGAGAAACTTTAGTTTTCCTTTCAGGCACCCTGCCTAGTTAAGATACAACTGGTCATTGGAAAAAAAAAAAATTAGATTCTTTCAAGAATTCTAAGCATACAAGTCAATTCCTTCACCCTTACAGCCAATACAGTACTTTTGTACTCTAAAATCAAATACAGTGGACCCTCAACCAGCGCATTAACGTTCCAAGGGCTTGCCGTTGGTCAAATTGCGTCTCAAGTTAATTTTCCATAAAAATAATGGAAACAGAATTACAGTAATCATCTGACACCCTAAGTCTGAAAAAAAAAAAAAAAAAATTGTACATAAAATTATGACATTTCCTATATGGAAAGGAATGGGGACATGGCAAGTAAACAAAAATTAACCCTTAAACGGTTTAACGTATATACCGTTCACTTGTGCAGCGCCCCGATATTTTCAAAAAAAAAAAAAAATGACATTTTTAGTATAAAAAACTTAGGTCAGTACTTATGGAGACATGAGCCAAGAGTGGCATGTGCCATGTGACAGCAACAGGAGTCATGCCGCTTGCAGAAGTGTTGCGGATATACTTTTTTTCTATTATATTATTTTATGTAAATTTCTGAAATTACATTTGTGATTCTTGTCATTTCATAACCCAATCTTGTTCTGACCTGTTTTGGTACTGAAATTGTACTAAATTGTCACAAACAAACTGACGGTGAACATTTACACCTGCCTTAGGGAGAGGGAGGGAGGGGAGGGGAGGGGAGGGGAGGGGAGGGAGGGGAGGGGAGGGGAGGGGAGGGAGGGGAGGGGAGGGGAGGGGAGGGAGGGGAGGGAGGGGAGGGGAGGGAGGGGAGGGGGGGGAGGGGAGGGAGGGAGGGGAGGGAGGGAGGGAGGGAAGGGAGGGAGGGGAGAGAGGAGGAGGATGATGAGGAGGATGATGATGAGGAGGAGGATGATGAGGATGATGAGGATGAGGATGATGATGAGGATGATGATGAGGATGATGATGATACGTAATAATAATAATAATAATAGGTAATAAGAAGTTCACTTGAAGCATAAAAAACAAAGTCCACCCCTGAAAGTGACATGATAAGATGAGATAACATCTGACGTTTGATGAGCATACACAAGGGTGGGGGAGGGTGCAGCTGATAAGAAAAGATTAGAGGTGATATTTGATGAGCATCACCCTCACTTTGTTTTCACTGGTACAAACATGTCTGTCTGTCAAGCTCCCTATCTGTATCTGTCTAGCTCTCTGTCTCAGAGAGAGCCACAAGACTGTCATCACCTTTACTCACATCTTCAAGCAGAATATAGCACTTTGATTGGATTTTTTGGGTTATCCTTGGTAATTTACACTATGTATACTTGTATTTATGTGTACCTGTGAGACAGAGATAGATAGAAAGAGACAGATTGAAAGAGATACAGAGACAGATACACAAAGACAGATAGACAGAGGTAGACAGAGAAAGACAGAGGAAGACAGAGATAGAGATACAGAGATAGACAGACCCTAAACTTGGGATTAACATCACTTTCCTCTTAAAAGAGGAGTGTTAATATGACATTATATAAGTGAATCCCCTAGGTAGTAGGTTGGTAAACAGCAACCGCCCAGGGAGGTACTACCGTCCTGCCAAGCGAGTGTACAACGAAAACCTGTAATTGTTTTACATGATGGTAGGATTGCTGGTGTCTTTTGTCTGTCTCATAAACATGCAAGATTTCAGGTATGTCTTGCTACTTCTACTTACACTTAGGTCACACTACACATACATGTACAAGCATATATATACACACCCCTCTGAGTATTCTTCTATTTTCTTTCTAGTTCTTGTTCTTGTTTATTTCCTCTTATCTCCATGGGGAAGTGGAACAGAATTCTTCCTCTGTAAGCCATGCGTGTTGTAAGAGGCGACTAAAATGCCGGGAGCAAGGGGCTAGTAACCCCTTCTCCCGTATAAATTACTAAATTTAAAAGAGAAACTTTCGTTTTTCTTTTTGGGCCACCCTGCCTTGGTGGGATATGGCCGGTGTGTTGAAAGAAGAAAAGACCAGTGAATCCTTGGTGTTTGCTGCACTGTTTGCTCTAGCTGGCACTCAATTTAACTGGCGCTCCCACAAGGTACTAAGTGGTCCCAGATTTTTTAATACCGCGCACGCTGAGTGTTAGGACCCATTCTATGCTGACAAGGCATCTCAGGCCAATCGTGCCAAATTTGAAGGCAGGAAAAATAAAAGTATATATACGTTTGGACCGTTTAAGGGTTAAATGCCACTTACCTTTATTGTGGAGTTGTTGATGAGTGATGTGCCAGCAGCACGGGAGATTCAAGATTGTCTATTGCTTGGAAGGAGAATCCCCTTCCATAAAGACTTCAGGTACCAAGTCCTTTGGTGGGGTTACCTCCTTCTTGGTTTTTCAATGCCACTAGGACCAGCTTGAGAATCATTGGACCACCCTCTACCACCATCACAACCAGTACCACCCTCTACCACCATCACAACTAGTACCACCATCACAGCCACTACCACCCTCTACCATCATCACTACCACCCTCTACCACCATCATAACCAGTACCACCCTCTACCACCATCACAACCACTACTACCCTCTACCACCATCATTACCACCCTCTACCACCATCACAATCACTACCACCCTCTACCATCACAATCACTACCACCCTCTACCATCACAATCACTACCACCCTCTACTACCATCACAATCACTACCACCCTCTACCACCATCACAATCACTACCACCCTCTACCACCACCACTTTCATATTTTTCTAGAAACTTTTTCTTGAATTCTATGTTTCTCACATCCTTTACCAAAGGGCTGGCTCTGGAAGCTTTTGTGGGACCCACGGTGGCTTATTTAGCGGTTACAAGCACTAGAAACAGTGGAATAATCCAAAATGTATGGGAGGCACATGTGGAAACCGGTCGCAACAGCTTGTAAACAATGGCACACTGACGTCGTTGGTTAAGTATTTTGCCGTTGGTTAAGGCATTTTTTCCTACGGCAAAAAGCGCCGTTAGACGAAATTGCCATTACTTAATGCTGCCGTTAGTTGAGGGTCAGCAGTACAGTACTGTGGTGGAAATTAAAAGGGGTTTCCGTTGCTACAAGGAACATTTGTCGAAACCCTTATTTTATTCTGTTAACATCCTGCACAACCAATCCTTCGGGGCAATGTTCCTATAAGTAAAAGAATACTGGATACAGACTTTCATGCTTAAAGATTATAACTTCAATAAATTTTTTAAGGCTCACCTGTGCATCTAAATCAGCCTTGTTTCCAATAAGGAAAATTACAGTATTAGGATTGGTAAGATTGCGTGCATCTGTCAACCAAGAACTAAGATGATTGTAGGTAGATCTCCTAGTGATGTCATACACCATTAACGCTCCTGCAGCACCTCGGTAATACGATCTGAAAATAGAGAAACATGCAAAATAAAGGAAGGAAAGTGTAATATTTAACCCTTTCAGGGTCGAATGGCCCTCTCCTAGACTTGTTCTCGGGGTCAAAAATTTTTCGGAAAAAAAAATTATTTTTTCTTATGCAAAGACAGAGAATCTTTTCGCGATCATAATGACACCAAAAATATGAAATTTGATGGAAAACTTACAGAATTATGCTCTTGCGAAGTTAGCGGTCTTGTCAATGTTTATGCATCGGCGATTTCGCACACTTTGAGCCCTATTTTCGGCCAATTCCAATGTACTAGTTGACAAAAATCATAACTATTTCGCTAAAACTCCATTTTCTCTATCGAATGAGTACAAGAAACCACCCATTTACCGATTTCAACTATCCAATAAAATGGTCAGAAATTAGCAATTTTGCCAATTTCACACAAATTTCAAAAGATGCCAATTTCTGAATAGGGTCCAGAATAAACAAGACAGATATTCCTGGCACTAAAATAACATTTCCTTTGTTCATTAGTCACGTCCCCAGGCCCCTCTTACATTTCTTTTGCTTTCCACTTTGAATTTTTATTCTCACAAAAAATAGAAGGTTTACTGTTATGCAGACTACTGCATTAGTGTAGAAATGATATAAATAATATCAGCGCACTTGTGAAAGAACATCAGACTCACCAGTTGATGTGTATTGGACGCTTGGCATGATTTGTTTACTTTTGAACTTTGGCAAAAATCGAACATTTCTGCTCTTTTGAGCTCAATTTAAACGTACTTTTCATTGAGAAACCAATCAAAATCATCTCAATTTCTATATGTCTTCCATTCTATAAAATGAGACCAGGAAAACTAGAATACAAACATAAATACCATACGAAAATACAGTGCAAAGTCGCTGTTTTAAACCAATAACATGGTCAAAGTTTTTTTTTCTCATTACGCACTGTGTGCTGCAGGATTTTTTTTATACTGCGCACACTGACCACATAGACCCATTCTTTCATATGTAGGCCTACCAGCTTTCTCTTGCTAGATTTAAAGGCGCTAGAATTTAGGCGTACTAGTACGTCAATAACCCTGGTGCCTAAGCTGTACTAGTACATTGGAAACCCTGAAAGGGTTAGAGAGCACTTGGACCTACGAGGTAACTCAGTACTGCTGTTAATAAAATATGTATACATTCATACATGCAAGACTAACATCTTCCCAAAACATACACCAACACACAAGAAAAATAAATACAAAGTTAAAATAATCGGCATCAATTCAAGAAAAAAAAAGGATTAACATCAAATGACTATTCTAAAATTACCCAAAGATATCTACATGTAATGTGTACATTGAAAAAGATATAGTATTTAGATCATCTGCCAAAATTTAAAGGTCTAGATAATATTCAGAACCTAAATATTTTTGGTTTTATTTGTCATTCATCTTGCTTCCATTACTTACATATTACAATTTTTTTCCATCATACAAATACAATTCACAAACCTGCACTCCAATAGGCCTACAGTTTTCTACTTGAAACAAGCTAAGCGTGATCAAGATTAGTCTTCGTAGCAAAAATATAAACAAAAATATACATACGAATATCACAGCTATGAAAACATAACACCTTGGCAAACATTAAACCTTTCACTATTCAGATCCCACATCTAAAACTTGTCCAGTAAATATATATATATATAATATATATATATATATATATATATATATATATATATATATATATATACAAGTTGGTCGTCTCCCACCGAGGCAGGGTGACCCAAAAAAAAAAGAAAGAAAATCCCAAAAAGAAAATACTTTCATCATCATTCAACACTTTCACCACACTCACACATTATCACTGCTTTTGCAGAGGTGCTCAGCATACAACAGTTTAGAAGCATATACGTATAAAGATACACAACACATCCTCCAAACTGCCAATATCCCAAACCCCTCCTTTAAAGTGCAGGCATTGTACTTCCCATTTCCAGGACTCAAGTCCGACTATATGAAAATAACCGGTTTCCCTGAATCCCTTCACTAAAATATAACCCTGCTCACACTCCAACAGATCGTCAGGTCCCAAGTATCATTCGTCTCCATTCACTCCTATCTAACACGCTCATGCACGCTTGCTGGAAGTCCAAGCCCCTCGCCCACAAAACCTCCTTTACCCCCTCTTTCCAACCCTTTCGAGACGACCCCTACCCTCTTTCCTTCCCCTATAGATTTAATGCTTTCCATGTCATTCTACTTTGATCCATTCTCTCTAAATGACCAAACCACCTCAACAACCCCTCTTCTGCCCTCTGACTAATGCTTTTATTAACTCCACACCTTCTCCTAATTTCCACACTCCGAATTTTCTGCTTTAATATTTACACCACACACTGCCCTTAGACAGGACATCTCCACTGCCTCCAACCGTCTCCTCGCTGCTGCATTTACCACCCAAGCTTCACATCCATATAAGAGTGTTGGTACTACTATACTTTCATACATTCCCTTCTTTATATTTATATATATATATATATATATATATATATATATATATATATATATATATATATATACAGTGGACCCCGCATTAACGATGGCATCGCAATAGCGATTTTTCCGCATAACGATTACTTTTATCGCAAAATTTTTGCCCCGCATACCGATTAAAAACCCGCATAACCGTTTTTCGTCCGAGACGCGTCCAATGTGCCCTCACATGTGCCGCCCGTCCCATTGTTTACCAGCCAGCCTCCGCGGTAACATCCAAGCATACACTCGGAATATTTCGTATTATTACAGTGTTTTCGGTGGTGTTTTCTGGAAAATAAGTGACCATGGGCCCCAAGAAAGCTTCTAGTGCCAACCCTGTGGTAAAAAGGGTGAGAATTAGTATGGAAATTAAGAAGATTTTGAAGGGTTTGGGGCTAACCCTGAGAAGCCTATGCCAGTTGTGGAATCCATTTGTGCCAACTTCAAAGATTAAGGAAATGTGTGCAGAGTGGTTTGAACTGCAAACCTTTATAGATGAAAATCACCCTGACACAGCTGTTGCAAGCCGTGCTTGTGACTATTTCAATGACAATGTTATGGCCCATTTTAGGAAAGTCTTGAAGAAACGGGGGGTACAGAGCTCTATGGACAGATTTGTTGTGCGACAGAGGTCCAGTGACTCTGAAGCTGGTCCTAGTGGCATTAAAAGAAGAAGGAAGTAACCCCAGAAAAGGACTTGCTACCTCAAGTCCTAATGGAAGGGGATTCCCCTTCTAAACAGTAAGAAGATAATGCTCTCCCCTCCTCCCATCCCATCAATCATCACCAGATCTTCAATAAAAGTAAGTGTCATGTAATTGTGCATGCCTTTTTCAGTTTGTGTGTATTAAAATTAACATTTCATGTGGTAAAAAAATTTTTTTTTCATACTTTTTGGGCGTCTTGCACGGATTAATTTTATTTCCATTATTTCTTATGGGGAAAATTAATTCGCATAACGATTATTTCGCATAACGATGAGCCCTCTTGCACGGATTAAAATCGTTAACCGGGGGTCCACTGTATATATATATATATATATATATATATATATATATATATATATATATATATATATACACACACACAGGGGACCCCCGCATAGCGAACTTAACCCGTGCAAGAGGCTGGCCTTTATGCAAATTTTTCGCTATGCGAATTAAATTTTTTCCCCATAAAAAAAATGGAAAAAAAATTTTTCCATGCAAGACACCCAAAAGTAAAAAAAAAAATTTTTTTACCACAAAAAAAGTTAATTTTAGTACCACAAACTGAAAAAGCATGCAAAAATTACATGACACTTACTTTTTTGAAGACTGGTATGATTGAGGGATGGGGGGAGGGAGAGAGAGTTTTAGTTTTTTAAAAGGGGAACCCCCTTTCCATTAATGAGGTAGCAAGCCCTTTTTTTGGGTTACTTCCCTCTTTTAATCCACTGGGCCCCAGCTTCAAGTCACGGACTTCTTTCGCACAAATATCTGTCCTAGTGGCCTGTACCTCTCTTTCCTTTAGATTTGTCTAAAAGGGGTTTCACAACAGTGCCCATTGTAACAGTCACCACACGCTTGCAATACTGTTGGGTTTTTTCTCAAAAAAGGGTTTTGCACTTCAGCCTTTTTGCACACTTTTCCCTTTTAATTTTTTGAAGAGGAAAATTCCTTCAATTTCTCTCCCCCCCCTTTTTAACCAGTTTCCCCAGGTCTGGCCTCTTGTTTTGAAGTTGATCTATCACTCATCGGGGTTAGTTTTTTCATTGTCCTCCTCCCCAAACTTTTCCACATCCTCCCCACTAACCTCCAACCCCAAGGACTTCCCCAACCACAATTGTTTCCTCAACGGTATAACTACCCCTCGGGTTAGCCTCAAACCCTTCAAAATCCCTTTTGTCTACCATCGGGGCCAAAAATTTTTTCCAACAAGTTCAAGGTTCTTTTAGTCACTCCCCCCAAGCCTTACCTAAATTTTTACAAAATTTGAGGAATTAAAGTGCCCTTTCCAAAACTCTTTTAATCAATCGAGTGCTGTTCATTTCAAAGCACTTTGAAACAGAGCTTTTGTACATTTTTTTGAAGTTGGAAAGACCTGCTGGTCCTGGCGCGGGAGGGGATGGTTTTGGGAGCAAAAACTTCCCCTTAATGAACCTTTCCCCTAAAGTCACTCTGCCACTCGTAGGATCCGGGGCATTGTCTAACCAGGGGCACTTAAGGCAATTTCTTTTCATTTAGGTAATTTTTTCACATTGGGGCAAATGCAGGTGTAACCATTAAGAAAAATTCCCTAGTGACCCATCCCTTACTGTTTCCCTCCACAGCAACACAATTACCTTGGGGGACATCTTTTTGCCTGAACGCTGGATTTCAATGATACACTAAAAAAGGGCTTAACTTTGGGCAATCACCACTACTTTGGCACACATCAACAAAGAAAGCCTGTCTTTCATAGGCTTATTCCTGGATGCCTTTTCCTCCGAGTAATGTAGGCCCTGCTTGGCATTTTTTTTCCCCAAACAGGCCTGTTTCATCAAAATTAAAACACTTGTTGGGTTCCTCCTTCAGTTTCTATGTCTCCTTGAATTCATGCACATATTTTTTCAGCCGCTTTGTGGTCCAACGGCAGCCTCACCATGCCGTATCCACTATGGATCCACTACGCTTTTTAAAATCTCTAAAAACCCAACCCTTGCGGGCCCTTTAAATTCACTCACATCATCAAATTTGCAGGCATTTTTTTAATTAAATCGTCATGAAACTTCCTACCCTTTTTTCACATAAAAAACCTTGAGAGCGCTATCTCCGCTACGTTTTTTCATTACCCACAATAAATCTCTAAACACTTTTCCATCACTGCGATTTTTTGTTTAAAAACACAGTTAACCTTTGGCAACACAGCTTCCTATTGCCTTTTCTCCCCCAAAATAGAAGAATGTTTTTTTTGGGTTTCTTGTAAAACCGCCCGGGGTTCGGGATACTACCCATTTTCAACTTACAATATTCTTTTCTTCATTTAAAGGGGTATTCTTACCATTGAGGTGGGGTTTGGCACAGAAGCTTTTTTGGGGCCCTTTGGTCACTTATTTTTCCAAAACAGCACCAAAAACACTGTAATAAAAAAATATTCCGAGTGATTTTGAATTTTCCCCGGGGCTGGCTGGTAAACAAGGGCACGGGCGGCACATTGAGGCGGCGGGGGGGCGCACTTTGGGACCGTCTCGACAAAGGGCCGCTGAGGGTTTTTGTCCACTATGGGGGGCAAAATTTTACGAACAAAGCTCCCTATGCGGTTTGTTCGCTATGCAAGGCTTCGCTATGCGGGGTCCACTGTATATTATATATATATTTATATAATTTTATATATAAAATATATATATATATATATAAATATATATATATATATATTATATATATATATAATATATATATATATAAATATATATATATATAAATGGTAGACAATCTTTTGCTGAAGGTAATAAAACAAAAAGTATGAAATTTGACAGAAAACTGACAAAATTATGCTTTCGCAAATTTTGCTGTCAGCAATATCCATGCATTAGCAATTTTGTCCAATTTGAGTCCAGTGGAACCAAGTCTTAGCTATTTTGCTAGTTTGTCTTCCATTTTATCGATTGAGCACAAGAAATCGCCCAATCAACTCTGTCAACTACCCAATAAAGTTATCAGTAATCGGTAATTTGGCCAATTCCACGCAAATTTCAAATTATTCCAATTTCAAAACAGGGTCCAGAATAAACAATGCAGACATTCCTGGCACTAAAATAGCATTTTCTCTGTTCATTAGTTATGTTTCCAGGCTTTACACATGAATTCCATTTTGATTTTTTCACACAAAAAAATAGAAGATTTACTATTATGCAATATTGTAATAGTAACTGTATAAATAATATCAGCACATTTGTGAATGCATATTAGACCCACCAGTTGACATGTATTGGATGCATGATGTGATTTGTTTACTCTTGAACATCGGCAAAAATCGAACATTTCCGCTAATTTGAGCTCAATTTCAAACTATTTTCAGTCCTAAAACTAATTACAATCATCTCTTTTTCTGTAATATATCTTCCATTCTATCAACTGAGACCAAGAAACAGAGAATACAATCATAAAAACCACATGAAAATACACTGCAAACTTGCCGATTTTACACCAAAAACACAATTGCAGATTTTTTCTCATTATGCACTGCATGCTGCAGGATTTCCTTTTTTTATATGGTGCATACTTACTGCATCGACCCATTCTCTCACATCTAGCCCCACATTTACCACTCACGGCTTATCTGAGTGAGCTGAGCTCAACACATAGTACTATGGCACAGTCAGTGAAAGGGTTAAAAGACACTTTCTATATATATACACGTATCTGAAAATAAAACAAAAAAATAAGCCTGTTAATACAGCATTATTAACACTAACCTTGTTACTGCTCTGAAGCGTTCTTGTCCTGCTGTGTCCCATATCTGTAACTTAATCTTTTGTCCCGCTACTTCAATGATTCGAGTACCAAATTCTACACCAATTGTGTGTGGACAATCTGCCATAACTGGGAAAAATATGATCATCACATGAGAGCCCTATCAATTACTGAAACTGCTTTCTCAAAGTATTTTAAATTTAAGAATAATTTGCAAAGACTCCTGAACTAAACGTTCAGGATTCTTTAAGGTAAGCCACCAACAAAAAATTTAGCAGTTAAAGAAAATTAATATAGACAAGTTGTTAATGTGGCATGTTGTCATGATGCAACTTTCAGTTAGAAAATTTGTTAATTATGCAATACTGTGTGTTAGTGTTAAATACTGCACATAAAAAAAATCTGTTGTGTGTTTAAGTTTTGCCAGTTGTAAGGTGAGAATGTTTCAATGTGTTGACAACTGCATACTTATAGACCACATATAAGTTACATAGAGATACAAATTTTAAACCTATGTTTTCATTATTCATGACTGCAGGATGTATATGCAGTCACTCATGTTTTTAATTTATATAGTACAAAATTTCCCCATTCTTCTCAAATCAGTTGCCTAACACTAAGAAAGTAGAATTAGAAAAAATTGTATGTTAAAATTGTATGAAATTATAAATTATTAAAAAAAAAAAAAAAAAAAAAAAAAAAAAAAAGTATAACAGTACATAGTCCCTTTATTTTAATAAATAAAAAGTTCTAGCAATAAATGGAATTTTGAACTCTGCTTGTACAGACCTAATAAGAACTTTATAGGAAAAATTAAGGTGCAGGTATTAGGAATTTACTAGAAGCATTATAAACTTCCATAATTCAGTACTTTTCTTTCCTAGTCACCATGCATGAATTCAATTTTTGGCATCTCTCAGACTTATAGCAAAGGTATACATACGTACATTTCTTTTCTGTGAACTGGTGGAGAAGACATGACTTCCCCACACCCATGTCACCAATGATGATGTATTTGAAGATATACGAATAATTGTACGGACCCGCAGACATTGTAACCCTGGAATATGAAAGGTTTCTAAACAGGATGGCAGCTAAACCGCACCTCAATACATTGAACATGCTTAACCCTTTCAGGGTCGACAGGCCCTCTCAGAGACTTGTTCTCAGGGTCGGCCAAATTTCAAAAAAAAAAAAAAAAAAAAAAAAAATCTATTGAAAAGATAGAGAATCTTTTCCCGATCATAATGACACCAAAAGTATGAAATTTGATGGAAAACTTACGGAATTATGCTCTCGCGAAGTTAGCGGTCTCAACGATGTTTACGCATCGGCGATTTTGCCCACTTTGAGCCCTATTTTCGGCCAATTCCAGTGTACTTGTCGACAAAAATCATAACTATTTCGCTAGAACTCCATTTTTTCTATCGAATGAGTACAAGAAACCACCCATTTACCGATTTCAACTATCCAATACAGTGGTCAGAATTTAGAAATTTTGCCAATTTCACACAAATTTCAAAAGACGCCAATTTCCGAATAGGGTCCAGAATAAACAAGAGACATTCCTGGCACATTTCCTCTGTTCATTATTCAGTGCTGCAGGATTTTTTTTATACCATGCACACTGACCACATAGACCCATTCTTTCATATGTAGGCCTACCAGCTTTCTCTCACTAGATTTGAGAGAGCTAGAATTTAGGCATACTAGTACGTCAAAAACCCTGGTGCATAAGCCGTACTAGTACGGCTGAAACCCTGAAAGGGTTAAGCATCCCAGAGCGATAAAATGCATATACAGTTCACTCATTACTTACCTTAAAATATTTGTAGTCTTAATGTAGGGTCAGGGGTGAGTAAACGAGATAAAACGAATAAATGAAAGAGGGAGAGAATGAGTACATGAGGGAGGACAGGCGCAGAGTTATGTAAACCAGGCAAAAGTAAGTTTTGTAAACAAAGTGTACACGTCTGGTTTGTGTACAAGTTACATTGTGTACAAGTTGTCTCGAAATTGATACGGTAGAATAAATAAAGAATAACACTCCCATTCTCATGTAACACCATTTTTAGAAGAAATGACGCTCTGAGTGAAGGCAATGGAAATAAGTCACTCTGTCTGACTTTTTTGAGTTATCCTAAGTTCTCTACACATATGTTGTTATGTATGATAATCTATATAACTGTATTTGTGTATACCTGAATGAACTTACATGCATACAAAAGGAATAATTTTCTACAGTTACCCCCAGAAACACTTTTCTCTTATGTTAGACTAAAGAAAATGTTATTCTTGCCATCACTTGTACAAGTTATCTGGCTACCACATCTCATATTTATGTTTATTTATTCTATTGTGGGGTGTATTTATCATCTTTATATGTTATGTATCGTGTTTATTATATAATTTTGAAAAAAATATCATGGATTAACCCTTTGTTTTCGACGTATAAATACGTCTTACGAGCCAATGTTTCTGACGTATATATACTCAATAATTCTAGTGGCTTCAAATCAAGCGGGAGAAAGCTGGTAGGCCCACATGTGAGAGAATGGGTCTGTGTGGTCAGTGTGCACCACATAAAAAAAATCCTGCGGCACACATTGCGTAATGAGAAAAAAAAACTGATCGTTTTTTTGGAATAAAACGCCGACTTTGAGGTGTATTTTCGTATGGTATTTATTGTTGTATTCGCGTTTTCATGGTCTTAGGTGATAAAATGGAAAACATATTAGAGAAATAGAGATGATTTTCATTACTTTGACGATGAAAACGACCTCGAAACTGAGCTCAAAGTAGCGGAAATGTTCGATTTTTACCAATGTTCAGGAGTAAATAAATCACACCACACGTCCAATACATGTCAACTGGGGAGTCTAATATTCTTTCACTAGTGCACTGATATTATTTATACCATTTTTACAATAATGCAGTAGTCTGCATAACAGTAAATTTTGTATTTTTTTGTATGAATAAAAAATCAAAATAGAAAGCAATAATAATATAAGAGGGGCCTAGAGATGTGACTAATGAACAGAGCATATGTTATTTTAGTGCTACAAATGTCTACCTTGTTTATTCTGGACCCTATTTTGAAATTGGCATCTTTTTTAGTTTGCATGAAATTGGCCAAATTGCCAATTTCTGACCACCATATTGGTTAGTCCAAATTAGTAAATGGGAGGTTTCTTGTACTCAGCTGATAGATAAAATGGAGTTTAAAGAAACAGCTATGAGTTTGGTCAACTGGAACAATGGAATTGGCTGAAAATAGGGCTCAAAGTCGGCGAAATCGCCGATACGCATATGTCGCCGAGACCACTAAATTCGCGGGAGCATAATTCCATGAGTTTTCGACCAAATTTCGAACTTTTGGTGTCATTACCATCGGGAAAAGATTCTCTATCATTTCATAAGAAAAAATAATTTTTTTTTTTTTTCAAAAATTGAGCGACATAGAATGAGTTTCAGAGAGGGGCCTGAAACAGTCAAAGGGTTAATGAAAATGTGCATATTAACGTAATATATGACATTTAATGAGACTCGGTGATTATTATTATTATTATTTCTAATATGGCGTCATTTGTGCCAGTCATCTGGCTACCACATCTCATATTTACGTTTATTTATTCTACTGTGGGGTGTATTTATCATCCTTATATGTTATGCATCGTGTTTATTATATAATTTTGAAAAAATATCACAGATGTATTAATGAAAATGTGTATATTAACGTAATATACGACATTTAAATGAGACTTGGTGATTATTATTATCATTACTAATATGACTTCTCGAGATGTAAGACACTCTTACTGATTTTAATGTGTACCTGCACGCCAGCACAGTATGCAAGTTTATTTAGGTACAGGTATACATAAGTATAATTATCAGGGTATATATAAAATATGAAATAACTTTTAAAAACACTTGAAACTTTGGAGTTTCCAGACATTATGGAGAGACTTAGTGCTTACGGATCTCACAGAATGTAAACAAACCGGGTTGGGCGCGGTGACCGTACTAGAAAGTCAGGTGGGGGAGCCATATAGCGAGTTTTGGTCATAATTTGAAATGACCGCATTAGCGGAACACCGTAAAGCGAAATGCCATAAAGCGGGGCCCTACTGTATTAATAATTACAACTCTGACCATATCTTCCCAGTCTTGCCCTTCTGAGGTCTTACCTGGAGTTTACCTGGAGAGAGTTTCGGGGGTCAACGCCCCCGCGGCCCGGTCTGTGACCAGGCCTCCTTTTTTTTTATAAAAAAAAAAAAAAAGGAATGTTTCTGAGGCTAACCGCACTAGATTAGTTTCATAAGGAAAACACTGAAACAAAAGTGATTTTCTTGTGCTTCTCTATGAATTTATGTTTTAATTCAATGGACATCATCATTCTTTTCTTCTCAGCATTGTCCTCTGCACTTGCTTTCTTAGGACCCATGGTTAGAAAAAAGAAATTTGGCAAAATAACTGTGCAAAAAGCACAAAACGCTGGGATGCTGGGCAGATGTTGTGGCGTTCACTGCATCAACTAGTGGCAGTGTATCTGAAGCTCACTCATAACTCAGGTTTTGGCTCAACTCAAAGCAAAAAATCGACCGAGCGATGGCTCATAACTCGGAAAACTCCTAAGTTGGGTCCGTTGTAAGTCAAGGTACCACAGTACTATCAAAATTAACTAATGCCTTCCAATACAGAGTGGCACACCCCTAATTTCTATAGAGACTGCTATGTGTTAATTTTGCAGAAATTATTATAATTAGCATCTGTATGACTCACGAAATTGTAATGACACGATTGCAAACAAGCCATACCACGGGCGGGATTGAACCAGCGGTCAGAGTGTCTCAAAACTCCAGACCATCGCATTAGCCACTGGACCAGCTAGCCACAATAAGATTTGTCCAACTAGGTATATTTCTACACCATAGGAAGGTTAGCATAGGCACCACTGTGACCACAAATACAAGTTTTTACAGACGAATCTCCAGCTAGCGTGGCCGTGACAAACTCTAGCTCAAGTCCCCTCAATGCCGTCAACATGACTCACAAAATTGTAATGACACGATTGCAAACAAACCATACCACGGGCGGGATTGAACCTGCGGTCAGAGAGTCTCAAAACTCCAGACCGTCGCGTTAGCCACTGGACCAGCTAGCCACAATAAGATTCGTCCAACTAGGTATATTTCTACACCATAGGAAGGTTAGCATAGGCACCACTGTGACCACAAATAAGTTGGACAAATCTTATTGTGGCTAGCTGGTCCAGTGGCTAACGCGACGGTCTGGAGTTTTGAGACTCTCTGACCGCAGGTTCAATCCCGCCTGTAGTATGGTTTGTTTGCAATCGTGTCATTACGATTTGGTGAGTTATGTTGACGGCATTGAGGGGACTTGAGCTAGATTTCGTCACGGCCACGCTAGCTGGAGATTCGTCTGTAAAAACTTGCATTTGTGGTCACAGTGGTGCCTATGCTAACCTTCCTATGGTGTAGAAATATACCTAGTAGGACGAATCTTATTGTGGCTAGCTGGTCCAGTGGCTAACGCGACGGTCTGGAGTTTTGAGACTCTGACCGCGGGTTCAATCCCGCCCATGGTATGGTTTATTAGCACCTGTAATTACTTATAATCAATATGATTATGAGTACACTCCTGATATTCAAATTCTAGCAGCTCATGATACATGGGCGAGTCTCCTTAAACCCGCTGCCCCTGTTCACCTTGCAGTAAATAGGTATACTACCTAGGTTTAAGTAGATCACAGTAATTCTCCTCCTGGGTGATGATCAAAGGCTTGGCTATAGGAACTTCAAACTGAGCTACATAATCTCCCAATCACCAAAGTTGAAGCTGGCCGATCTAGCCCACAGAGATGATATCCAAGCACTGTATGTATATCAAAACTAACCTTCACTGCCAGGACCTCCAACACCCTAAACAATGCCAATATTACTGGCTCTTTGGCCACCTGGCATAATGTTGCAGATCATAGACAGAATGTCCAATCTGTCGAGAATCACATCATGATAGTGTACATTCTGTGATCAA